AGTCCCTCACTCATCTCTAATTTCATTATCTTTTTCCTATATTTCATGTTATCATTCCTTTTCTCTCTCTCTCTCTCTCATTCTTTCTCTTACTAACTATCTCTTATCATATTCTCCACCTCTTTGTTTTTCTTCTAACATCTTTGTTCCCATTCCCTTTCTCTATTTCTCTCACTTCTTTCTTTTGTTGCTCTTTCTTCTCTCTCAATCTCACTCTTTCTTATACCACTCTCTCTATCTAGCTCACTCTCTATTCTTCTCTTTCTATTTCTTGCTCTTTTTCTCTCCCTCCCTCTTCCTTTCCCTCACTCATGCCTTCCATCACTTCTTCACTCCATCACTCTCTTCCTTCTATCTCGCTCTTTCTCCTTCTCTTCTATCTCTCCTCCCTCTCTCTGGTCTCTCACACTCCCTATCTTCTGCTCTCCTACTCTCTGTTCTCCTACTTTTAGCTCTCTTTATCTATCCCTCTCCCTGCCTCTATCCTTAACTCACTCGATTGTTGCTTGACTCCTATTTGTATTTCTTCTCTCTCTCTTCTTGCTAAATCTTCTCTTTATATCTCTCTTCCACTCTCTTTCCCAACCTCCCTCTCTCAATCTATATGTTTTCTCTCTTATGCTCTCTCTCACTCTTTCTCTACCTACCAAATACTTTCTCTCCCTCGCTCTATACCTCATATTCACTCTCTCTTGTCCCTCCCTCCCTCCTTCTAACATCTCTCCCTCCTTGCCTCTCTCTGTGTCTCTCTTCGCTTACTCTCCTTATCTTACTCTTTCTCACTCCCTCTCTCTTTATTTCTCACTTTCAATCTTCTTCCCTCTATCTCTTTATCTTACTTTTTATTGTCTCTCATTCTTTATCTCCCACCCTTCCTCTCATTTAATAATTTTGTCGGTCTCAAACTCTTTCTCAAACTCTCCAGCTTATCTCTGATTCTCTCTTTCTCTTCCCTATTACTCAGTCTCTCTCTTCTCTCTCTCACTCTACTAATTTCACCCTATCTCTTCTCTCTTGCCCATCCCCATCCTCTCTAGCTCTATCTATATCACTCTCCCCTCCCTCTCTCCCTTTCTCTTTGTTTTACTTTGTTTTCTCTCTCTTCTCTTCAGGCTCTCTCACTTGATTGTTCTCTTTTCCTTTCTCTATCGCTTTGCTATTTCTATCTCTCCTCAGTCACTCTTCTTATCTCACTTTCTCTTCTCACTCTGTCTTGCTATCTATCTCTCCCTCCTTCATTCTTGCCTTCCCTCCTCTCTCCTTGTCTCACTCTCCCTCTATGATCTTCCCTCCATCTATCCCTCTTCAGCTTTATCAATTTTTTTTCTTGCTCTAGCTTGCTCTCCCTCTTCTTTCACTCTTTCTATTCTCCTGTCTATTCTCTTTTTCCCTTTTTCTCTTTCCCACACTTTCTCTACATTGCTATCTCTCTCTTCCCCTCCCTCTCTCTCTCTTGGCCTCCTCCACCCATTTTATATATATCTCTCTCCTCCTTCCTTTTTACTCTCTCTTTCCTCTCTTTCTTGTTCTGACACACTCGTTCTTCCCCCTCTATCTACCTCTTAATCTCCCTTCCATTCATCTCACTCTTATATCTCTCCTCTTTCTCAGACTATCCTTCCCTCCCTTCATCACTACTCTTCTCTCTAATCTATCTCCTCTCTCAATCTCTTCTTTATATTTTCTCTCTTATTCTCTTTCGCCCTCCCTCCCTCCCTCATTCCCTCCTTCCCTCCATCCCTCTCTATCTCGTTCTTTCACCCTCACTATCCTTCTCTCACCCAATCTCTCTTTTTCTCTCCCTTCTTTTTTCTTTAACTATATATCTCTTCTCTCTTTTATTCTCTCATTCTCTACCAATATCTTTATATCCCTACCGCTCTCTCCCTTCTTTCTCTCTACCTAGCTCAATTACTTTTTATCTCTCTTGCTCTATTTTCCTCTCTTTCTCTCTTTCAATCCCATGCTCTCCCTTTCTATCACTATCACTCTATTTTTACTGTCTCGCTTTCTTCTGTCCCTAATGCCTCTCTCTCACCCTCTTACAAATTATCTCCCACTTTCTCACTTGCTCCGTCTCTTTATCGCTCACTCCCTCTCTCCCACACTCTTTTTCTCTCCCTTTTTTTGTCGCTCTCTCTCTCACCCACTATCCCCAAATCTCTCCCTCTCTTATGGACTCTTTCTCTCTCTACTCTACCTCTACCTCACTCTCCCTTATACCCCTCATTATCTTTATATCACTTTC